GTATCGGACATTTCTCAAAGTTGTAATATCGGTATCGTATCGGAAGTGAAAAAGTGGTATCGGGACATCCCTACTTCTGATATGTTATAATAAATAACAAACTGGCTTGAAAATGCTTCACTGTGACCATGAAATAACTCGCAATGTTGCAACACATTTTGTTACAGGAGGACCTGTTTAGCTACTGTTTGCAGCTGCTGTTCTCCCATTTGTGAGCAAATGCAACAAATGAACACTTCTCATTTACTTTTTTGAAACACTATCCTGTGCGGCCAACGCCTCCGTGTCCACGCCAAGTGAAAACATGCAGAGCAGACACACCTCCTCCTCCCTCACCTCAGCTCTCCGTCCAGCGCCTGAATGACGGCTGCRAAGCTCCGGCTCGTCTGGTTCAGATAGACGTAACAGGTCCGCAGGCTCTCCGTCATGGACTCCTGGCAGGAGAGACAAAGGAAGGCGGTTTGTCGGTGGAAACCCGCGGGTCTGAGGGCGTTGCGGGGTCGGGTGGCCTCCAGCGGGCCCCGCTCCCCGAGCCTCCAGCCCTGCTTCAGCAGRAAGGTTCGAGGAGCGGAGCCGCAGCACCGCGGTGCCACCGAGAGCGAGCGCCTAAACACGGACAGGGAGGCCGGACACTTGCAGCAAGCTCCGGCCATGCGAAAACCCCCACAGGAAGGCCGAGCCTTAGACCACACGGTCCATGTGTCCCGCGGGGTAGTGTCCCACAGTCCATGTAGAGGACAAGCGAACCGAAAAGGGTCGAGCGTGGAGACAAATCTTTTTTCCCCTACCGTCCGCTGATCTCCAAACAGAATCATATCTACATGAGGCGAGCAGAGAGGGTGCAGAGTGTTTGTAGATCTGTTGTTATGATCCGCAACGCTTCCCCCACCTCCTCTGCTCAAAACATGCCTCCCTTCTGTGTCCTAACCGCGGTTAAGCAACACAACATACATCCTGCAGAACATCAAGAACACATTACTGCTCTACAAAAAACATATTAAGCAAAATTCGACATTGTTAAAAGGACAGCACGCGCTTCAAATCGCGTGCAACTTTGCAAATTAACGCAAGAGTTTTGCATATAAAACATGCAAAATCAAGTCTAACATTTGAGGCTTCACTATGCTATCACATAAACAGTATTTTTACAGCATCTGCAMGCATTTTAAATAGGTCAAATTAGTTTAAAAATAAAAGACATGACGTTCTACTGCCATCTATCGGAAAAACATTGGAATTATACGATCGTGTGTTTAACAGAATAAACAGTCCTGCAGGGTAAACAGATAGAAAATTGTGCTTTTTTTTGCAGATTGTTAAGTTTCAACAGAATGCATAAGGTTTGTTAATAAAATATTTCTATGTAATAAATAAAATAATAGAATGCAGTTCATAGTGGTTAAATCTTTAATACTTTTTGAAGGCTCCACATCATCTCTAAGGCACTGATTGTGGAATGCATTGTTTATCTTCAAGTGATCTCAGTCTAAAGTGTTTAAAAAAACAGCTCTGACAACTGACCTTAAATATTTGACAAGGTCAAAGTGACTCTCAGCTCTATTTTGACCTCAGGACTGAAGTTGTTCAGCCTGATYAGAAGAAAATAACAATTTGTACTTTTACAGGTGGCAAAAAAAAAGTAGTTTGAGGATCACACCAAATTCCTCTGGGTCACATTGGTGTTTAAAACTGCGGGATTAGGCGTCAAACGCACGCGCAGCATCTCTCCTCGCTCCAATCTTATTACGTAACTCAAATCCCGCGTCAGTGCTYATGTCTGCCCGTGTGTGGACAGCCAAGCAGAGCCGATCTAATTCGACAAAGTCCAATTAGMTGACTGTTTTCACCGTGCACCATATAGGTCAATCCACGGCACCGTGGATCTGGTTGTTAATAGGACTACAGGTCTACGTGGGGGGATTCCGTGCTGCAGCTCGWGTTGATGATTCAAAAAGAGGAACGGGATGTGCTGCATAAATCACGTGGCAAACAGCGATACGCAAATGCTCTCTTTGCTTATTAAAATAAAAATAAAAATCAGTAATCATTTAGGCTACTCACGTAATCCAACTTTGTCATGACAGCCCGACATCCCCCCATCTTGAACCTAAACAGGTTGAATATCTCCTCCGGGTGTGCCAGAGACTTCAGGATGTCCATGTTGCCTCAGACGTCAGATGTCCCGCAGCTACTCTGAAAACCTGCCGTGTGGACCGGAGGAGACGCTCTCCATCCAGGCTGCCTTTTCGCCGGGATGCAGCGGCGGTGGGGGAATCATTCACCAAAAAGAGAACCGAACGCTTTCTGCCCCTGAAACGCGTTACATCRACCGACGCCTCTGATTGGCTGCGCCGTCATGGGTTTAGCAGCCGGCATCCAATGAGCGAGAGGACCGACTGGCGTGATGCCCCGCCCTCACGRAGTGTCATCCGRGCGCGTCCTGTGATTGGTCCGTTAGAAGAAGCGACAGAAAAGCAACACCTGTTTATTGAAATGACAGAGGCAGAGCTGCCTGCTGTGAAACAACGTGGTGTTCAGAGCTTCAGATGTACTGGAGCAGGTATTGGTCTGATAACGTCCAGCTCCTGGAAAAATTTTATTCATTACAAAGGACCAAACATAAGTCAAAAAGTAGGACAGGACAGTTATTTTTCTTATGAAACGTTAGCTTGCTGCTGGTTATCTATCAGCTAACGTTAGCAATCATTAGTGATGACATTATCTTGAGGTTTTTTTTTTTAATCAGTTAAACTGTATTTTAATGCTAAGATTGAGTCCAGGTCCACTCTGATGATATTTATTGATTCCCTGTTATAATTTACATTCATAAGTCACAGATTATTTCTCTAATTTAATCTGCTAGCTTCATAATTTACACATTACTTACTTGACTTTTTAAAGCTGACTGAATTCAGGTGGCAGTAAAAACATAACACTTAATCTCTCTGTTGAAGTAGGAACTGAATACAGGCTGTGTCTCAATTCAGGGGCTGGGTCCTCATGAGTGCGCATTTGTTGGCCGCATACGTCATTGCCCCGTGCGGAGGACGGTCCCAATTCAAAGGCTCCTCCTCATGCGGTCGAGGAATGCGTCCTGCTTCCTATCGAAATCCGAGGATGCATCAGAGTATCCTTTCCGGCGGAGGC